CTATTTATATACTCGTCCCACAAACAAAACAACGCCATTTTGCTTAATTGCGTACAAGTACGGGTGATCTGCCTTAAATATTTTCGGGTGCGGTGGGATCACAGGAGCGGACAGAAAAACTAAGCCCACTACACCAAAAGAAAATTTTAACATTAATTATTATGTTTTACGTACGATAATCTATTATAACATATTTGTGGCTTAAACAGAACAGTTTAAACTTTCAAGGTAGTAACATAGGTAAACAAAGTTGTATAACAAATAAACACCATAAACGGCCAATCTACTACTAGGAAAAAAAATCTGAAATTATTACCTAAATCACAGTTTTTTAACTAAATAATGTATACAGGGTGGTCCAAACTGTATTCCGGAAACTTCGGCAGCATATTCTGCCGCTAAAAATATGTAAAAAAGTTTGTATAAATGTACGTCTTAATATATTTGTTTTGGAGATACAGGGTGTAGAAGTTCATTTTTATTTCGATTTTTTCCAAATAATTTCTGAAGTAACGTCATTATTTGGATGAAACTTGGTGTCTTGGTGTTTTTTAACATAAGAAATTTGATTTTGATGTCAATATTACTCCTATTTGTAGGGGGCGCCACCTACATGTGTTTTAACTGTTTTGAAGGGTAATAACTTTTCGTCCGTCCTGTATATAACTACTGAGTGTGAAAAATATACATTTCCGTAATTTTTTACGTAAAAAATATCTCTTGGTAAATATCCCTACGAGCAGCCGTTCAGTCAATACATGTCATTATATTGACTAAAAATAAACACGCTCTCTGTTGAACTGTTGGCAAAAAAACATTTCAAATTTATGATTTCACTCTAACTATTTAGTCAACATGTTCAATTTATGTGAACGACGACAGGTTTTGATAATTTCGATTCCAAATATCTCGAGAACGATTACTCGTAGCGATTTTTACCAAGAGACCTTTACTACGTAAAAAACTAGTGATGGGTTGTTATTTAACTATCTGTTATTTTATAACAATTATTTAGAAATAACATAACGCAACCGTTACTACTTTTAAAAAATAACAGATATAAAATAACGATACGTAGAGATCGACCGTTCGTGAAACGAAGTCGGCGCTCTGCACCGCCACGAAATTCGCTGCTCGAAGCAATTCCAAAAAACAACTATGGATGGAAAACATGTTATTTCGACAACCATCGACAATCATTGAGCTACGGCGCGGCGCGGCGAACGTATCTGCATCGGTCGATGGTCGTGTGGGGCTTGCAACAGCTTAAAAATAGTAGGATATAAAAGAAGCAGCTTTTTGGAACAGTTGCGGGCATAACGCCTGGCGGTCGAGATAATCGGAGTGGGAAAGTAACGCTGCTGCATCGGTCGATTGTCGATGGAGGTTCGAAACAGGTTGGAGAATAACGCATCAGTTGTTTTAGATACATTGTTTTTCAATCTGTTACGAAGCATAACGGGCGGAGGTCGAGATATTATGGCGCTGTATGTTTCAGTACTTACTTATTAAGTTTCAATATTTAGGTATTTATTTATTCTAAAAAATTTTCAGAATAATATTTTAAGATTTTTTAAAAATGTATACAGGGTGTTTTGAAAAATGTGGTCATTGATTAATTACGATCCGGCTTAAAGCCCTTGAAGTAAAAAGCTGATTTTTGGAAACCGGATTGACTTTAGGGTGTAGAGGTTCGATAAGAAGGGATTTTTCGAAACACGAATTCTAAGGGGGTGAAACCACCCTCAAATAATAGAATATTTTTTATTTAAAAACCGGTGAGTTTTTCGGAAAAACTTTTAAAACACATATATTTTATTATGTTGTTTTACATATTTTAAGATTTTTTAAAAATATATACAGGGTATTTCATAAAATATGACCATTGAGTAATCACTATTCTGCTTAAACTGCTTGACGTTTAAAGCTGATTTTTGGCAAACGGATTGACTGTGGGGTTGAGGTTCGATAAGGAGGGGTTTCTCGAATCTCAAATTCCAAGAGGGTGAAAACGCCCCTCAAATATTACAACATTTGTTATTTAAAAAACAGTCTTTCGGGAAAACGCCTGGTCACGCATAATTTATTTAGTTTTTTTATATATTTTGAATTTTTTTAAAAAATCATGCAGGATGTTTCAAAAAGTTGAGTAATTGATTAACCACGATTCTGCTTAAACTGCTCGACGTTTAAAGCTTATTTTTGGCAAATGTGAGAACATTTTATCCAGTTTGTATGTTAATGGAAATTCTTGTTTTGCTTTATCATCACCATTACAAATTATTAATTCGACGCGAACGAAGTCGCGGGTACACGCTAGTTTAAGTGTAAAATAAATTTGAACTCTAGTGTGTAGTTGGTTTACTTATGAAGAATATACTACACATTTTCTTATATTGCTATTTTTTACCGCAAATGGTAAAATCATAACTAAGAGCTTCTCGCCCGTCGAGTGAGATGCACCCTGTACACTGCTACGCAATTCAGGATCTACGCGGATCGAGGGGCAGCGTAGGTAGAACATGTATAGGTATAGACGAGTGGCGGAATTTTGGCTTTTTTTATATCGCAATTTGTAAACAGCGCTTATTACCACCGTTTTTAGAGAGGTATTTTAGATAACACTCGATATTTACAAATGTTTTGACACCCTGGAAATACTACCACCGAGCACGTCATTGTCGCAACTTGCAACTGCGTTAATACGCCTAGGTGACTCATATACTCTTTCAGATATTTAGCAATAAAATAAAGAAACCTGTTATTTTAAGCTGTTTTTTATAAATAACTGTAACAGTTTCAACTGTTATTTAAAAATAACAGTTTTGCCCATCACTATAAAAAACGTCGTAAACGTATATTTGTTTACTTACTAGTTTTATACAGGTACGGACGAAAAGTTATTACTCTTTAAATCAGTTAAAACATATGTAGGTCGCGCTCTCTACAAGTAGGAGTTATATTGACATCAAAATCAAATTTCTCATGTAAAAAACTCCTAGACACCGGTTTTCATCCAAATATTGACGTTATTTCTGAAATTATTTGGAAAAAAATGGAAATAAAAATGAAACTTCTACACCCTGTATCTCCGAAACTAGACATTTTAGGACATACATTTATAAGAACTTTTCTACAGGTCGGACCACCCTGTATATAAATTTTATTCATTTAAAATAATGTCTGCTTTGCTTGTTATTGTTTGAAAAGTTGATATAGAAAATTAATTGGTAGTTTTACGAGACCATTAGTAATTAACAATTTTTGTTTAATTTTTTCTGTTTTATTATTTGTTTTGCTTATTTTTTTCTTTCGTTCTGGAATATATAGGATACATTACTGACCAACATAAATATCTCTTAGTATTTTGCATATTTGAACTGCAGTAATTTTTTTTTTAATATAAGAAGAATTATATTTTAACTAATATCAAATTTATCCTCTTTAGTAATGAAATCTTAAAAATATAACACTTTAGTTTTGGTAAAATATAACTTTATAGATATGATAAAAATTAGAACAAACTAAGTGTACTAACATTGAATATTAATAAAGTACTAATACTTACTGTTTAAGCCACCACCTCTATATATTAATTAAAAACAATACATTGATATCACTGTTACCTCACAGTACTACTCTATGGGTCTATTCAACTGTCACATGATATACACCTTATGAACCTTAAAATACTAACAAAATTCATATATTGTTCTGCTAATCATTTATGAATAATAGTGGTATATTGTTTTATTAGGAGTAAAAGTTACACTTTTTGTGCCTCGGCTGTATGTCAAACGTACAGCCTATTACAAAAAGTGTAACTTTTACTCCTAATAAAACAATATACCACTATTATTCATAAATGATTAGCATGCTATTTTTTTTCAAACGCCACAAATAATTTTTAAACAATTTCAAACGATTCAAATAATATAAAAAGATTTACAAGTCATATCTTGTATGTAATTATATATCGAGAAACTATGGTTACGCTCGTTGAATTTGACACTTTATGTCAGTTTATTCATATATTTTCGTGCTTTTTTGCTTAGGCGTAAAAGTGCTTTACTTTTAGGCCTAGGCGTTAAAATTACTTTTTTATATTGTCAATAACGTCAAAAAAATTAATACTTTTGGACGTTTGAAAAAAAAAATTATACTAAAGCCGTGTAAATCATATCTTTACGAATTGTGAAACTCAAATTTCAATTTTTAATTTTATCTCAACCGTTGATAAAATCATTATAGGTTAATTTTAAACATCATTATATGTTAATTATTTGTTAATTTTTGTGGTTAATATTACTTTTTTGGTAAAGCACGCAGAACAAACCTAGCAATGAATAATAAAATCAAATAAATTACACAAATTTTCGTAAAAAAATAAAAATTAGAAATATTTTCAAACAATCATCAACTTTTTAAATGATATGGTCTCAGGTTAAGAATGTGATTATCAATAAAAGAATACTACCTACCTGTTTAAAAATTATCCTCAGCATTTCTTTAAACTTTTATTTTGGATTCTCACTTGTTTACTATTTATTATAACTAAATATTTTTTTATATGTATTTGTCTTTTATATACACATTCAATTATTGGCTAATACTCTGTGCATATGTATATTATCTATATATATATATATATATATATATATATATATATATATATATATATATATATATATAACAGAGAATCGACCAAACCAAACCAAACCAAGCCAAAAACCCACCAGGATAGATAAAAGAACACCAAAACAACCCACATAAATAAGCTCCAAACTACTACTTAAAAACATCTTGCAGTAATTTTCAAAATATTTTTTTTAAAACCTAGCTTTAAAGAGTGATCCATATAATTTTGAAAAAGCTCAATGTGGAGTTTTTGATGTCAATTTAATATTTTATTATGTAACAACCACTACTGCAAGAGGTTTAACCAAAAACACGACAACACTACGACAAACCAGCCAAATTAAATAAAAAATCAAACTTACCGGCTGTGGCAGCTGCGGCTTCTGTTCCAGACTCAGTTACATTGATAAATGCCTTTTGGACAACCTGGCTGATCTGTAAGGCTTCTTTGGAAAGGTTGCTAAAGTCGGCATCGCCAGTGAAGGCTGTCTTCAAGCCCAACTAAAGCCAAAAAAAAAACATATTTAATACTTATGTTCCTATATGGAGAATGTATCTATATCATAAACAAAAAATATGATTTTATATACAGAGTAATTTATCAGATTTGAAATAAATACTGTCCTAAGGGTAGTTTACTCTTGACTCGAAAAATATCAAACCCCATTAAAACGTACGTCTATGAGGTATCGCATTTCTTACCCTGGGCAAAATGTACGTTTTATAGCCATACAGCCGCCTGCCAAAAATGAAAAAGATCGCTCAACAAACAATCAAGATATTGGCTTGTATCCATCTTAAGGGGAACACCCTGTATGTGAACATGTAAAGTACATCCAATAACAGAAGTAGAGACAGACAGTATCCAAAAATTGAATAATAAAACAACGTGTTTTTGAATTAAAATGACATGATATTTGTCACTGTATAGTCAATTAGTAGTTCTAGTAGTAGTTGGTTCTAGTAATAGTCTATAGTAGTTAGTAGTTCTACAGGGTGTCCCAGGTTGAGCGTGGATTAGAAGAAAAATTTGTATAGCCTAAAAGTCAAATTTAGTCATTACTAATGAGAAGCCCTATCTATTCCAAAAATCAAATTGCTCAAATGTCATATAACAAAGGCGGTAGCTGCCATGGAACTGACCGATTAAAAAATTATCATAAATCATTTTTTTCAAATGAAAACCCACTTTTTTATTTCACTAATAAAAAGGTTTTTCAATTCGTTACTTTTTAACTATACATGTCCCTATACCTAAAAGAAATATTTTTTTAAGTTATTTAACATTTAATTTGAAAACGTATATTTTTTTGATTTTATCTAGCTTCCTTTGACATTAACTGTCAAATGGTCAGACAATTTATTTCCATCTGTCAGAAAACGAATTATTTGAATTTCCTATATTATTAATACTGCCTGCTTAAGAATTTAAAAAACGTATTTATAAAAATATATCTCCTATTTTTGCTCTTTAGTGATATTTAAAGTTGATATTATTAATAATATTCCGTATGATCGAAAAAAAAAAACAGCGCAAAGTTGGCTCGGAAATGATGCTGCTTTTTGAACAAAGCGTCACAATATGACATGGCCAGATCTATTGTTTTACATCATTTGACGTTTAAAGTCATAAGCTACTAGTTAAAATCCAAAAAAATATACGCTTTCAAACTAAATCTTAAATAATTTAAAACCGAATTATTTTAGGTATAGGAACATGTATAGTCAAAAAGAATACAAACAAACAAACAAACGACGCTTTATTGTACAAAAAGCCAAAACAGCTTCATCGACAAAGCACTCACAAACAACAAAATCACAAAAAAATACAAACAACAAAAAATACACAATACAAATAATACAATTCAAAAAAATTTAAGTCTTTAAAATTACAAAAGGAATATACATGGACAATTTTAGAACAGTACGCAGTAAATAGATATAATTTTAGAGTTATAAAATATTAAATACTTGACCTTTGACCAGTGTGTGAGATGATCAAAATTTTAAAATTCAAAATTGTTCATAATTAAACATCAACAAAAAAGTCGTTTACCGCATATAGGGCTCTCTCCAGTAGGTATGATTTTAGAGCTTTGCGAAATGCGGGAAAGAATGAAAGCGACTAAATATTCAAAGGCAGATGATTGTACATTTTTTTGGCATTGTATAGTATTGAACCTTTAACTAGTTCTGAGCTCGGGGTTGGCAGATAAAGATCGTGCTTTGCATTCCTAAGCGGATAGTTATGAGATGGCCTTTCGGGAATAGCAGATATGTGCTTGCGGATTAAGCAAACGGATTCAAAAACGAATAAAAAAGGAAGAGTCAGTATTTTCAAATTTTTAAAGAAATTCTGGCAGTGAGTTCTACTGTTCAGTCTCAATAAATATCGAACTGCTCTCTTTTGAAGTCTGAAAACACGATCAAATTTTGTTGCGCAGCAAGTACCCCAGAATGGAAGGGCATAACGAAGATGTGACTCAAAAAGGGCATAATAGGCTATTCTAGAGGTTGAGAAGTTAAGTTCCTTAGAAACTGATCTTAGCGCAAAACAGGCAGCGCTTAGTTTTTTTGATAGAACTTCAATGTGAAAGTCCCATTTTAACGAGTTGTCTACAACAAGTCCTAAGAATTTCACAGAGTCCACGACGTCAATAGTGGTGTTATTAAGTACAAAAGGTTGTATAGTACTTTTATATGACAAAACTTTAGTTTTTGATAGGTTGAGGCATAGGAGATTAGAATCGCACCAAGAGTTAATGGTGCGTAAGTCACTGGATATAGTATCATCTGGACCGCAACATCTGGGCCGCTCCAAGTGAAACTAGTATCGTCCGCAAAGAGGCAGATTTTACCGCTAATGTCTAGATTTGCAATGTCGTTGATAAACACCAGAAACAAAATAGGGCCAAGTACTGAACCCTGAGGGACACCACATTTTATAGGCTTACAAGAAGACATAGACGTATCAATCCTCACAAGCTGCCTTCTGTTGCCAAGATATGACTTAAGCCATTCGAGCGGCACTCCCCTGAAACCATAGTATTGCAATTTGTTAATTAAGATATTATGATTTACACAATCGAAAGCCTTAGAGAAATCACAGAAAATTGTAGCTGTAGAGTGATGGTTATTCAGGCTAGAGTATACATTATTAAAAAGGTCGAACATAGTATCATTTGTGCAACTGTTACTTAGAAATCCAAATTGATGGGTAGTAAGTATTTTATATTTAAGGAGAAAAGATAGAAACCTTTTTTTAACCAATCTTTCAATGATCTTAGATAATGTGTTATACACATCCCTTATACAGAGGAATAATTATTGCTGTCTTAAGGCAGTTTGGAAAAACTCCTTTTTGGAATGACTCGTTAATTAAAGTAGTAAGATGGTTTAATGTGCATTCAGGAAGTTCAGAGAACATTTTGAGAGTAAGCCCATCAGTCCCAGATGAGGATTTGTTTTTAATACTATTAATTGTACTACAAAGCTCATCTAATGCTACGGGCGTGAAGAAGAAACTGTGTAAATTCTCATTTGCTTTAGGGAGATATGAAAGTGAATCATGGGAAGGAGTTATGGTGTTCACTAAATTTTTAGCCACATTAACAAAGTAAGTGTTTAAATCTTCATGTGAATTAAAGACTGTGCCAGACGAAGAAGTCTTATTCCTTAAATCATTTACAATAGTCCAAGTCTCCTTAGCGACGTTACTGGAAGCCAACTTCCGGTATTTCCATATTGAAAATATTTTTAATCGATAGATTTCGTTGTGAAACTATGATGTGCAAAAAATCTCCAAGCTAGATATTGTGGTTCTCTAGAAACTTCTAATGCACGCTCAGCCTGGGACAACCTGTATGTCAAAGGAATATTGAGTAACAATATTTTACTTACGTTTTCTAAAATTTGATTGAGCTCCAATTTGGTTTCGACCAACCATTTTGGCAGGCTGACTGCAACGCGTTCGTAGTTGTACGGCGGAGGTGTCAAAAGTGATTCCACGTTGCTTTCCAGAGCTGTCAGACCTTCAACTTCGTTGGGCAAGACTATGGTCATGGTAACGTTTTCGCCGGCATAGGGCAGTTCAAGGAACTTGGCATTGCGTTTTGTACATTCGTAGTATCTGCAAAAAATAGCTTCAGAATGAAATGGATATGGAATGGTTCCTTAATCATAAACATTTTTAATGTATTGTATACACAATACAATAAAATTGTTTATCATGCACAGTACACATCCCATACAATTTCTACAATAATTGTATTCATTAGTTTGAAATAGATTTAATACCTGAAATGTAATTACCAAAGATTTACCTGAAAGTGTCTTCAACGTGCATCATGTCAACTTCTTTGGAGTTAGTCTTAGTGACGAAGAATTTTTCTTTTCTGGTCAGGTAGTCTTCGAAAGGAGTTGACCATTTACCTAAAAAAGACATAAATAAACTAGAGCCACAAAAATCGCAGTTTTTGATAAGGGAAGAAATATAATGATATTCATTTAACCACGCAGTAGAGACTTTTGCTTTGAAAAGGCATTCAATAACTCAGAAATTCAGAAATCAAAGAAAATGCTTACCTTTAAAATACAATGCGTTCACTAAAACTAGTCTTGTAGCAGCGGATAAAGAGTCTGGATTAATCAAATTCTGGATTTTGTTATTCGTTTGAGATTCTACCCATTTATTGATCGATTCTGCAGCAGCCTGATTCTAAAAAAAATAACATCTAGTACACATGTACCCTGTATTGTATAATATTAGATTTTCTAAAAAGTAGGTCACTCAGTATAAAAGTAAAAAATACAAACCCCTCATTAATTCTACATAAATTAACAGGCATCTGGCATATTTAAAGTACAGTAGCTAAGTGCGTGATACCACAGGATTTTTTCTCGCTCGTAAATGTATGGACGTGATACTAATTCTTTAAAATCGATTTCTTTTATGTGCTTTTATTATCTATAGATACAGTTACCTATATCAGAAATCAGCATATTACTTACATGAATAAATTTCATTGAAAAATGTTGTCGTGTTTAATAATTTTATTACACTGTATTAAACATTATTATTATTACTGGGTTATATTTTTTGATTACTTCATGTCATTTATAAAACTGAAATCAATACATCTCAACATTTACAATAAAGAGTACAAAATGCATTCGGAAGTATAAGGAGATCTGTTCAAAGAGCTGGGTTGAATTATTTCTCAGAATATTATTATTATTATTATTATTATTAGATCATACACTCAAATTCAAATTTACAATAAAAAAAGTTAAAAATAATATCTTTAAATTGCTGACCTGGATATTATTTTTTTGGATGTTTCAATTGGCTCGATTTTCCTTATTCAATGTTAATTAGCGGTGATCAATATTGTTGCGATGAATATAAGCAGATTAAATAATTTAAAAAAACAGAGTCGGAATTGGAATTATTTTAAATACACACACCGGAAAAATCTACGGATATCATTTTATTAAAGTTAAAAATAAATGTTTTGAATAAACAACCACATATTTGTAGGCCGTTTCTTTCTACTTCGATTGAAACGAAGTAGTCATACTAGTTATTTCTAAATTTGGGATATTTGCAGAAGTGTTTGTGCATTTTTTGTCAAATGTATAAAAATCACCTAGCATCAATTGTTCGAATTTAACCTGTACTGGCTATGTTTTTATGATAACTGACCAGAATTCATATTCAAATAACTCTGTTTAGTATTAAACGACATTATGGAGCGTAGACATCTTAACAGAGACGAAATGCTAAGGGCCATGGGTATGCTCGAAGCTGAAATGCGCCAAATCGACGTAGTTATTAAATACAACGCAAAGTGTAATATCGCGATTAAGTGCACGCTACCGTGAAAGTGGTGATGTTGCTGAAAGGTACACAGGGCGACATCGTATTACTACCCCTCAGCAAGATCATTTTTTACAATTAAATGCTCGACGCTGACCGACTCTTACAGCACCAGAGCTTAGTATAATTCTCCAGGAAACACATAATGTAACCGTTAGTCCTGACACTGTTCGCAATAGATTAAGATAGGTCAACTTAAGAAGCAGACGCCCCTGGAGAGCTCAACCCCTAACGAGAGGAAATCGAGAGGTACGATATTTGTGGGCTCAAGATCATGTTCAGTGGTCGAATGAACAATGGGCCAATGTTCTCTTCACGGATGAGTCACGCTTTGGAATTCATCCGGATTCGAGAAGGCTTAGGGCATACCCGGTTCTCTCCATAGAGAGAACCGGGAAATCTTATTCGGTTGGATCATGTTCAGGAAGTGCACCCTTATCAAGGTGGAACAGTTATGGTTTGGGGAGGAGTCCAGTTAGGCCGAAAAACCGATCTCGTTTTTCTTGAAAGGTTTCTAACAGGATTCACATATCGTGATTTAATTCCTGAGCCTGTCGTGTTACCATATGCCAATGATTTTCGGAGAAACTTCATTCTCATGCATGACAATGCACGGCCTCATACAGCCAGAGTGGTAAGTGAGTTTATCAATGCTTATCAATTAAACATCTTACCCTGGCCGGCACAATTTCCTGACCTCAACCCCATCGAGCACGTATGGGACGCGGTCCAAAGAAGAATTTTGAGAATGGGTATGCCTCGTGAAACTCGTAGGGATCTGGTTCGGGCCGTGAATGCAGCGTGGCAGGCTGTACCTCAAGAAGAGATCGACAACCTGATCAGGAGCATGGAGAGACGATGTAGGGCTGTAATGAACAGCAGAGGAGGCCATACCCTTTATTAAGTAAAAATGGTTTTATCTTTTGTTTTTTAATTCACAGTTTAGAATTAAAAAAAAATGTGTGTATTTTTTTCAGTTCAATAAAAATCAAGGTAAATTTGAAAAATTCGGTAAATTTCGCATTTTGATTTCCAATACGTCCTGTAAACTATTTGTTTATTTTAATTTTATTATATCAGAAATGCAAATAATAAAATTACTGACGATGGCTGGATAAAATTGTAATATCCCTAGACTTTTCCGGTGTATGTTACTTAGTAATTAAATAGTTTTGTTGTTGTTAAGGTACCCAAAACAAAAAAAAAGTATAAAGTATGGCATATCATTGTACTCAGGAGACTGACTTCTTTCAAAACCTGAAATAAAAAATGCAGGTCCGTATTTAAAAAAAATAAGTTGGCCTCTGTATCTCACAAATTATCAGCTAATTTGAAGATATAAAAATAAAAAATACTGTCATGATGATACTGTCAGAGTCCTAATAAAGTGGCTATATGAAAATGTGCAATTAGTTTTTCAATTTTCTCAAAACTAACGACAGGAATAAATAAAATTGCTTTTCATAAAAATCCGTTTTTTTCCAAAAAACTCAGCAATCCTTGAAATTTTTAAAACTTTTTTGATGGCATCTTGGTGAACATCCCAATGCGCAACTTTCCTCCAATTAAACCAACTTCGTATCTATTACAGTTTCCGAGATATCAATTCTCATACCTCGAATTTGTAGCACCCTGTATACAAGCCTGCAAGAATGGCAAACCGAAAAATATGACATTCGCCGACATATAAATGCATTTAAGTGGACGAAATTGGTTTAATCGCCTTTTATTCAGTTTAAACCAGGAAAAATGTAATTTTTTAAAGTAGAATCTTGTTTCGCTTGGCTACGCAAATTATACTTTTTATAAGCAAAAAAATGATTAAATAAAAATTTTAGTAAACATGATTTATATAATAATGTAGGTAATCGGGTGAGTTTCAAAACTAACCAGCTATTTTGCAAACCAACTAAAAGCGCTGTTATTTTAACTGTGTTTTTTAAACGAATCTAACGCATTTATAGTCAAAATACAAATTTTGAAAGATCTCCTTAGTATACAAACTCTTTATAAATACCTTTGAAAAATCTATGTTCTCCGCTCCAGCTTCAAACACCGATGTTGCCAGTTGTTTGAAACTTTCCAGAATCTCGAAAGCTTCTCCCAAGAACAGTTTATTGGCAGAACTTAACTTCAAATCGTTCGTGTTGGATTTCAGAGTTGGTAAAAATTGTCTGTAAAAAAATTTAATAATAATTAATGGTTATAAAAAAATTGTTATACCGAGTGCGTCTCAAAAGTGGCTCACCCCTATAACATTCTCATTTTTTTCAGATAAAAAAACGAAATTTGGTATGTTAGTATGTATGACATAAATTAGGATTACGTGTGATAGCGTGACATCGCGTGGCATCGCGTCGGGTGTTGGCTAATGGGGTCCCGGCTTAATTGAGATATGATTAAAAATACGAATTGAGTATCTTTTAACAGGCCAAGATATGAAAAACATTAGACGATCAAAACTATTTTTCCAAGGCTCCTTGATTAAAAATTAATGTATCCAGCACATCCATGGCACTCTAGATCGAAACCTCTATACAAGGATTGAAAATACGATTTGCTTTTAAGCGAAAATGTCAAAAGTTGACATATGATATGTCATTCTATTCAGAGTGTACGAATAAAGTAGAAATATACCGATGGTGCCATTTAAAAATCAAAACATGTAGTCATTTCCGGTGAAACAGGAAGTGACAAAAAACAATTGAATACGTCAATCACTGTATATTTTATTATCTGAGAATATTCAATAGAGTAGTAGCTTTACTTTAATGCTTCTTGTGTCTTCTGTTGCGTACTGGGAAGGTTCAAAGCAGTGGTAAATTCTTCTGCTGTTTTACCCTTGGCCCCGGCTTGAGTCAGTGCCAAAATTATTTCTATAGACAGCGGACTGAATACAAAGTTCGCATCATGGTTATTCTTTAGTACTTCCTGTAAAAAAATAGATATATAGAGACAGAATATGTACCTAGTGTAACAAAAAAATATAGGATAGAAATGATATGTATATGCAATTTTGGCTCTGTTATATACAGGGTGGTCCAAACTGTATTCCGGAAACTTCGGCAGCATATTTTACTGATAAAAATAAGTAAAAAAGTTCATATAAATGTATGTCCTAAAATGCTTAGTTTCGGAGATACAGGGTGTAGAAGTTTCATTTTTATTTCGATTTTTTACAAATAATTTCTGACGTAACGTCAATATTTGGATGAAAATTGGTGTCTGGGAGTTTTTTGACATGAGAAATTTGATTTTGATGTCAATATGACTCCTGTTTGTAGGAGGCGCCACCTTCATGTGTTTTAACTGTTTTGAAGTGTAATAATTTTTTGTCCGTACCTGTATAAAATTACTGAGTAAAAAAATATACATTTACGTGATTTTCTACGTAAAAAATGTCTCTTGGTAAAAATCGCTACGAGCAACCGTTCTCAAGATATTTACAATGGGAATAGTCAATACATGTCATTATTGACTAAAAATAAACATGTTGAGTAGATAGTTATTTGACTGAAATGAGAAGTTTGGAAACTTTTTATTTTTTTAAACTAATCATAAATTTTTCGTCGAAAAAATGATGATAAAATAGTTTCTGTTGAACTTTTAGCACAAAAACATTTCAAATTTATGATTTTAGTCTAATAACTAGCGATGGGAACTATCGAATGAATTAGACTATCGAATGGTTAATGAATGAATGATTTCAACTATCGAATGGTTTTATTCGAATAAAATCATTCATTCATTTGTATACTAAAGCATATGTGACAACCTCGCCGTGCGACTAAATGGTTATCGTTGAGCCACGACTATCGAATGCTTTTGATAAATGAAATTTAGTATTCGTTTGATTTTTGTATGCGTCAGTGCATTATTAGTTCTTCCAAATTTTTATAACTTCGCCGTATAAATACTGTGCTATTTTTGCGTTTATTAAAATAGTTAAAATACTAAAATAGTAGTTATTTTTTAATTTTATTAATTGACGATTGTGTGCATGTGCAAGGGGTCAAAATTTTTCCGAAAATTTGTGTGGTTTTCCGTAGTCCGATCTTTCAATTATTTAATTTTATATGGTATATGGTCTATTTTTAATGGGAAATTTTGAGAAGTAGCAATTTTTAAGAGAGATCAGATGAACTTTTTTTTTGAATTAATTTTAAAAATACATATTTGTATTTTAGATGTTTTAATAATATGAATTAGTTGAACTTAATAATCATATTCAAGTAATGTGTTTAAGTAAATAGTTATCGAACTCAAACTATGGGGTGAGAAAATTAAAATGAAAGTTTTACACGTGCCAATTTAAAAAAAAAGTTAACGATGTTTGTATTTTGTTTATGCTAATTCTCTTACGTGTAGTTTTTTGCGAAGAAATATTTCATTTATTTTTTAAAGTAAATGCCAGTAAAAGTAAATATAATTTTTAAATAGTAATATAAAGCACCTAATATAAATAATTTTGATTTCTAATTTTTTATTTATATTTTCGTTCCATTACATTGCATGCTTAGAAAATTAATAAATGTTTATATTTCATGATTTTAAAATTTGTTGTTAATATAACAAATTAGTTCTGAAATTATTATTATTTAATTAACCAACGTTGCCAAAAAATTTAGAGACTATATTATTTTTAAATAGGATCTAATATAAATAATTTTGACATCTAATTTGTTGTTTATATTTTGCTACTACTTAAAAAATATTTTATATTAAATCATTTTAAATTTTGTTGTTAATAGGTATAACAAATTATTATTGTTATTATTATTTATTAAACCAGTCTTTTGCTTAAAAACATTAAAATAATTTTCTTACATCCAAAATAACAAGTATTATTGCAGTGTAACAACAGAATATTAATAAAAAAATGCAGAATATATAGACATACTATCCCTAACTAACTAAAGCCAAACAATAATATTCTTTGCTAATATCAACTAATACCAAAATATGGCAACAGCGCCCTTCATAATGTATTTCTGTGTAAATACTAGCACCTCAATAAAAAAATAATGTGTCCTTATCTATATCTGACTCCGCAAAAATCAAAGATGCCGGCTTCTTTTCATAGCATTGCCACCGACCGTTGTCGGGTTTCTCGGAAAGAAACCTACGTCGCCGGGCTACAACTAAAATTCAGTTAATATTTTATTATAATCGATCCTGACGAATAAATGAATTTCATAAATGAATGAATTTTATAAATGAATGGTTTTTGCTGCCGAATTACTAGAATACAATATTTCAAGGCAGATGACGCATCTATTCGATAATTTTTATTCGAATAGTTTTCAACGAATGTTTTTTACTAACTATCGAATTGTTCGAATGAATTGCAACTATCGAATGTTTCGATAGTATTCATTCGATGGTTCCCACTACTACTAATAACTATAATTAGTCAACATGTTTAATTTATGTCAATGATGACAGATATTGGTAATTTCGATATCAAATATCTCGAGAACCATTACTTGTAACGATTTTTACCAAGAGTCCTTTTTTACGTAAAAAACGTCGTAACTGTATATTTTTTAACTAGCTAGTTTTATACAGGTACGGACGAAAAGTTATTACTCTTCAAACCAGTTAAAAAATACGTGGTGGCGACCTCTACAAGAAGGAGTCATATTGATATCAAAATCAAATTTTTCTTGTCAAAAAAATCCCAGACACCAATTTTCATCCAAAATATTGACGTTAGTTCAGATATTATTTGAAAAAAATCGAAATAAAAATGAAACTTCTACACCCTGTATCTCCGAAACTAAGCATTTTGGAACATACATTTCTACGAACTTTTTTACTTATTTTTATCTGCAGAATGTGCCGCCGAAGTTTCCGGAATACAGTTCGGACCACCCTGTATATAAAAATGCATAATACAAAATTTCAAGAACAAAGAACAAATATTCATAAATAATTGATATCCTAGTAATAATCTGAAAAAAACTCAGAAGCAAAAAATTTAAATTAATAAAAACGAATGATTTTTCAATTCTTTCTTTGATACTTGCCCTACAATAATTGCAAACAAGGTATAAATAATTTAAACAAATTAAGGCATATTTCAATCGGCCAACTCAGAATAATTACCATATATCAATCAAAGAATTCCCGCATTTTATTTAAAACAATTATAACTTTTCTTGGTTGTTCCGTGTTTTTGTCACATTATAATCATAAATATACCCATTAAAATTTTTAAATAGGTAATATAAGCGTGAATAATTAAATTAGATCAAGCTAATGAATACATAGATACTTTCGATCCTATTAAGGACAAAAGTACTCTCCGTTAAGTGCCATTTTGTATTTTGTTATTAGTGCTTAATGTAAAGCTCCGAGTGGTAGGTGCATTAAGATTTTTTTTAAGTAGTACTATATTATGTATTTGGATTGATGATTTATGATAGTTCTATGACATTGAGTGAGTACTTTTTGTGTATTTTATAAATTTTAAACTGAATTTTAATCCTAGTTATTATTTTTGATAAAACAATTCAAAATCTTTGCAAACTGTCATAAACTACTATACTACTATAATTTTACTTGTCGTGCTATTTTTGTATACGAAATATAATAATAAAAAAATTAAAGAACATAAAGATTATTTAAGAAAGGGCGATTTTTACAAATCTTTGAAAGATTCAGCATTCATGGAACACAAGGCGCAGAGGAAATTTTAACAACGCAAAAATTATTATATAAGAAGCGATAGCCCCTAAACGAAAAATAAAAGAGGCTTTTTTAATACAGTCTAATAAAAATAAATGTATTGTTCAGGCATCTATAGAGGTTAGTAATGTATGGCTATCGGTTCTTTGATTTTAATAAACATAATATAAGTAAAAATTAAAGACAAATTAAAAATAGTCATACAGAAAGTTTGAGACTTTTTGGTTTTACCTCATTAAGTAATAATAATTGTTATCAGGTAGTAAATGTTAATTTTGAAGTTTAACTTGGTTATAACAAGTTAAACTCATTTAACAGAACGTCAACGGTTTTTATAGACGTATCTCTTGAAAAAAAAACTAAAGTTTCTTGAATAGTTGTATTTAGATATTTTAAATGTTTGTTTTTTGTGTTTTTTTTTGCTTCCGACAACGGAAAGAGATATTCTTCCCGAAACGTTAAGCATTTTTTTTGTCCGTTAGGCAAATTTGTTTATTAGTAAATCACTGCTGACAACTAGAATAGAAATACTCATAGGGTTTTTTTAAAGAAATAAAAAAATAAATTAACATTTTTTTAAAAGTATGTTTTTGCAAACCATATTTTTCTTATTTTTCAGAATGTGCTGTAAAATCTACTATATTTTATTTCTAACTGGCATTTGTTTATTTCTTGACGAAGTCTGTGCTCAAAAGCTTCAAAAATATTTCGAATGGAACATTGTAGATTTTGAATACAGAAACGAGAATCTAAGGGTTCAGGACTTTTTGAGCAAGAAATTACAGCTCGAGAACGCTCTACCTGTAGGGATAGAAATTTGGAATGAGAAAATATTCATTACTGTACCTAGATGGAAAGAAGGTAACTAGTATTTAAAAAATATACACAGTTGCAAATGTGAAATGATTTAAAATTATACGTCATCTTCATTTTCAGCTTAACCAACCATTTCCAATTATTATGGTGTAGCCTTCCTCACACATTTAGATACTCTCTTTGTAGTTTTCAGAGGTTACTGTTCTTCTCCAAGTATTCCTTGGTCTTCCCCTGGCACGTCTTCCCTGTGGATTCCATTCAAGTGATATCTCTGTGAGGTCTGTGCGCAAAATGTGCTCAATCCAGCCCCACTTTCTTTTCTTAATTTCGATATCTATTCGATTTTGTGATGGTCTTCTCCACAGTTCTTCGTTGTTAATTTGATTAGGCCAGAAAATTCTCAATATTCTTCGAAGACACTTGTTAACAAACACCTGTAGGCGATCCATGAGACCACGCGTAACCTTCCATGTTTCGCATCCATAAAGCAAAATAGATTTGACACTGCTATTGAAGAGCTGGACTTTTATATATATAGAGGTGTTCCAAACAGGTGCAAGCATGCCAAAAGCTCTTTGTGCCTTCAAATTTTTTTCCTCTATATTTTTCTCTGTACCCCATCGCTGTGAACCATACTTCCCAGGTACTGAAATTCATCAACTCTTCCGATGGCTCGGTTGGAGAGGTATAGATCTTGGTTGTTGGAAGTATTGGACCTCATTTCTTTGGTTTTCGCCACGTTGATTTGAAGACCGACTTTATTAGCTTTCTCTTGGAGTCTAAGAAGTTTTTGAGACATATCCGAATGCGAATGGGTCTTGAATCTTTAGTATTATACATACATTCAATTATATATTAAAACTAACACTGATTTCAATTTATTTAAATTTTAGGAATTCCATCCACACTGAACTATGTTCCTATCAATAGTGGACTGCGAAACCCGCCTCTTATACCTTATCCAGATTTGAAATCTAACGAATTAGGCAATTGCGAAGATGGACTATCCACAGTTTACCGAATTCATGTGGATGAAGTAAATATCAAATCAGAAACTTATTTAACATTTCTTAGTTATGTTCTTAGTTAAATTATACTATACATTTTAAAATTTTGCAAACAAGTCTTTTTGTTCAAAGTATAATGATATAATATATTGCATTGCAGTGTGACCGTCTTTGGGTTTTGGATACTGGTACATTTGGAATAGAAGATACCACTCAAAATGTATGCCCATACGCTTTGAACATTTTTGATTTAAGAACGGATAGAAGAATTCATAGGTGAGAAAAGCTATATTTTATATACAGGGTCGCTGTTATGTATGGAAACGGTCGATTATTAGGTAAAATATAGGAGGTACCGCAAAAAGTCAAATATAAAAGCGGGTAATAAATTTAAGTATACAGGGTTGGTCATAAAGTCGTGGCACATCAAAGTTTCATTTTTTTAAATGGAACCCCCTATATATTATTGCATATTTCGGTTCTTCCTTCAATTCTAAGCAAAAATCGAACAAAATGTACCTCAAACCAACCGTTTCCGAGTTATTGACTTTTGAAAATATCACTTAAACAATTTGATTTAATTAATTTCGATATGTTCAGTTTCATTTAACGATGCCATTCTGCCGAAACTGTGATACCTATATTTATAGATGTATAAAATGAGAGCATGTCAAGCCTGGAAATTACAAAATTTTCGTTTAACATTTCAATTCTTCAATTTATGTACAGCGTGTCCCATTTTAGTTGAAATCATACGGTATCTCCGTTATTCGTGAAGATAGAAGGGTGCGGTTTGCACATACCTGTGCCACTTTTTTGTCAAATGGAAGATGCCGTAAACAAAATTTTCATTGTTCTCTTCGTTTCTGAGCTACAGGGTCTTTTTGAAAATTTTGCAATTTGGGACACACCCCGTATCTCTGTTATTGTTAAAGGTATTGAGACGGTGAAAACCGTTTATTGTAGAACTTTTTACGTAGAATACAGTGGCGTAGTCTGTTATTCCACGAAAATAATATTTTTAAAGATATGCACTAAAGTTATGTTTTCTGAAATGGAACACCCTGTATATTTATAAATTATATGATCTGACTTGTTATAAGCTTCTCAAAAATATATAACACTCTATATTTTTTTTTCATTATTTAAGGCAATATTTAAAAAAAAACATATTAAAAGATCATTTTTTTATCCAAAAAAATCCATATGGGTTTTTCGCCAATGCACTGCAAGAAAAATCTACAAAATAAAATAGTTATTTTTTGTAAACACTTCTGGCGTTAAACCTAAACGGACGCTGCTTGTCAGAAGTTGTGTTTACAGTAATAAAAATTTGCCCAACAAAGAAAAAAATGCTTAACGTTTCGGAAAGTTTTCTCTTTCCGTCGTCGGAAGCAAAAAAAATATAAAGAATCAAGAAAAAACTATTTAAAATATTTAAATTGAACTATTCGAGAACACTTTACTTTTTAAAACAGATACGTCTACAAGAAATCGTTGACGTTCTGTTAAAATGACATTATATTAAGTTAAACTTCAAAATTAACAATTACTACCTGATAATTACTTAATAAGGTAAAACCAAAAAGCCCAAACTTTCTGTATGATTATTTTTAAATTTCACGTATGTTATGTTTATTTATGTAATGTTCTTTAAAATCAAAGAAGCGATTGCCATACATTACTAACATCTACAGATGCATGAGCAATACATTTATTTTTATTAGATTGAATTAAAAAAGCCTCTTTTATTTTTCTTTTAGAGGCTATCGCTTCATTCATTATAATTTTGGCGTTATTAAAATTTATTCTGTATAGCCTCTGTATTCTACGTAAAAAGTTCTACAAGAATCAGTTTTCACCTTTTCGATATCATCCATAATAACGGAGATACGAGGGCGGTCCCAAATTGCAACCTTTTCGAAAAGACCCTATAGCTCAGAAACGAAAAGGGTTATAAAAATTTTGTTGACCGCATCTTCCGTTTGACAAAAAAGTGGCACAGGTCAGTGCAAACCGCACCCTTCTATCTTCACGAATAACGGAGATACCGTATGATTTCAACCAAAATGGGACACCCTGTACATTGTGTATTACGATTATTGCTTAAAATTGAAGGAAGAATTGAAATATGCAATTATATACAGGGGGTTTCATTAAAAAAAATAAAGTTTGATGTGACACAACTTTATGACCGACTCTGTATACTTAAATTTACTAGTAGCTAATAGGAATTTAAAAACCCGTTACAACAGTATCACAGTTTCGACAGAATGGTATCATTAAATCAAACCAAACAGATCGAAATTAATTAAATAGAATTGTTCAAGTGATATTTTCAAACTTTAAGATATTTTATAGTGTAATAGATATAAACAACTGTTTTTTTGTATATTTACTTATTTTCCAGATACGTTTTTCGTACTGAAGATACCAATAGCAGAACGTTTATAGCCAATATCGCCGTGGATTTGGGAAAAAATTGTGACGATGCCTACGCTTATTTCAGCGATGAACTAGGCTACGGACTTATAGTTTACTCGCTCAAACAAGACACTAGCTGGAGATTTGAGCACAGTTTCTTTATGCCAGATCCGCTCAAAGGTAAGCATGTATATTTTAAATTAATGTAGTTTTTGAACCATAGGAATCTTCGAGAAATATGTAGAAAAGCTATCGAAATTTTCTAAAAAAAAGTCTATTAATTAAACACCCCTTATCGCCACACTTCCAAATCTTAAACAGGAAGACAAGGAGTAAACATTACATCAAAGATGAACAAAGAAATATAAATTCAGAAGACTACTAAACGGCGCGGCCGGCGTCAGCGATGGTTATAAAATGAAGATCGCTGTCAATTTATATGTAAAATTATATGAGGAATGTCATCGATGTTCATTTCCAAGCAAACTGGACGCCGTTTTTTTTTTCGTTCGTACGATATCAAGTTAAAGGCCAAAATACCGATTCATTTTCCTAGATAATCTCTTTTAATTACTTATTTACTTAGAATGGTTAATTGATACCATATCGTTTTTGCTCGAATATTTATGCATATTAAAATCGACAGCAACGTTAATATATTCCAGTAATGGATTAGAACTAAAGATAATTTCAATATATTTATATAGTAAGTGACCCATTAAAAGATAATATATGTTATTAATTTTACAAAAAAAAACTAATAATATTGTTTTATAAATATTTAAATTTTACTGGTATAGATTAAAGAAACAGCATAAATCCAAAATAATGCATATGGAATAAACAGATTTGTTGCAAGAATTTAGAAAAGTTTTGAGGCATACACACACCGAAAAAATCTAGGGATATCATTTTATTAAAGTTAAAAATACATGTTTTGAATAGACAACCACATATTTGTAGGCCGATTCTTTCTACTTCGATTGAAACGAAGTAGTCACACTAGTTATTTCTAAATTTGGGATATTTGCAGAAGTGTTTGTGCATTTTTTGTCAAATGTATAAAAAGCACCTAGCATCAATTGTTCGAATTTAACCTGTACTGGCTATGTTTTTATGATAACTGGCCAGAATTCATTCAAATAACTCTGTTTAGTATTAAACGACATTATGGGAGCGTAGACATCTTAACAGAGACGAAATTCTAAGGGCCATGTGTATGCTTGAAGCTGGAATGCGCCAAATCGACGTAACTAGAGCATTAAATACAACGCAAAGTGTAATATCGCGATTAAGTGCACGCTACCGTGAAAGTGGTGATGTTGCTGAAAGGCACACGAGGCGACATCGCATTACTACCCCTCAGCAAGATCATTTTTTACAATTAAATGCTCGACGCCGACCGACTCTTACAGCACCAGAGCTTAGTTTAATTCTCCAGGAAACATATAATGTAACCGTTAGTCCTGACACTGTTCGCAATAGATTAAGAGAGGTCAACTTAAGAAGCAGACGCCCCTGGAGAGCTCAGCTCTTAACGAGAGGAAATCGAGAGGTACAATATTTGTGGGCTCAAGATCATGTTCAGTGGTCAAATGAACAATAGGCCAATGTTCTCTTCACGGATGAGTCACGCTTTGGAATTCATCCGGATTCGAGAAGGCTTAGGGTATGGAGAGAACCGGGAAATCTTATTCGGTTGGATCATGTTCAGACAGTGCACCCTTATCAAGGTGGAACAGTTATGGTCTGGGGCGGAGTCCAGTTAGGCCGAAAAACCGATCTCGTTTTTCTTGAAAGGTTTCTAACAGGAATCACATATCGTGATTTAATTCTTGAGTCTGTCGTGTTACCATATGCCAATGATTTTGGGAGAAACTTCATTCTCATGCATGACAATGCACGGCATCATACAGCCAGAGTGGTAAGTGAGTTTATCAATGCTCATCAATTAAAATCTTACCCTGGCCGGCACAATTTCCTGATCTCAACCCCATCGAGCACGTATGCGACGCGGTCCAAAGAAGAATTTTGAGAATGGGTATGCCTCGTGAAACTCGTAGGGATCTGGTTCGGGCCGTGAATGCAGCGTGGCAGGCTGTACCTCAAGAAGAGATCGACAACCTGATCAGAAGCATGGAGAGACGATGTAGGGCTGTAATGTAGGCCTTTTAAAGGTGACCAATGTTCAATATTAATTTTGTCTCACCCTGTATAACTTTTTCGATCAAGTTTTAATTAGATTTAAAGTACAATAGTTAATTTAACTACATAATATTAGGCTATACCGGATAAATTCAATTTAGGTAGCGTTTATTGTAATTTAAAAATTGTTCTTTATTTCTAGAAAATGTTAAATATGTCAAAAACCTTACATTTTAGTCATATACTTCTCTTATAAAACTCACCTTTATTTTTCTCCCAGAATCCGAAAATCAATTAATATATAGGGTGTTCCATTACAAAAAACACAACTTTGGTATGTAACTTTTATTAGGGGCACCCTGTAGAACTCTCTATATTTTTAAAAAGTGCTCTGAATTAACCTACATAAGCTCACAAAATTTCATTTCAATACAAACTGCCGTTCTCCTTGAAGCCTCCGCAGCGTATACTATTTTTAATTTTAATTATTTATTTGGCTTTTTAGGTGATTTTAACATCGATGGACTCAATTTCCAGTGGGGTCAAGAAGGTATCTTCGGTCTAAGTTTAACCCCACGTCAAGCCAACGGTAATAGAGTATTACTTTTCAGTCCGCTGGCTAGTAATAGAGAATTTGCCGTGTCTACCGACATATTGAAAAACTCCTCTAAAGTATCGGATAGCTACAAAGATTTCTATGCCCTGGAGGAAAGAGGTAAGACGAGATAATATACAGCGAGTTGTTGAAAACTGGAATATATTGTACAGGGAAAGATACACATACGACGTCGCGTGTTGTTAGTAAGGAAGGGATACAGTTCTTCAACTTAATAGACCAGAATGGCATTGGATGCTGGGATATTAAAAAACCGTATAGTCCAGAAAATATTGCTGTCATTGAACGTAACGAGGAACTAATATTTCCTGCAGATATTAAAGTAAGTTTATTAATAATTGTCCGATTGTCATTAATAATTATATTAACACTTTATAAGCCCACGGCCATACAGAAAGCGTTTTATGCGTTTTTAGCGTTTAATATTTTTGATAAACACGTGGACTGCTCACAAATACACGTCGCGTCACTACGTATTTCTAAGCCGTTAACACGTTTCGTTATAACGAGCTCGTGTGTAAAAGCCGTCTCACTAGCTCGTATGTCACGGCCTTGAATTTTTACCCCCAGCGCGTGTAAAGAAGTTTTCCAAAATGTTTCATAAATCATGTCCTAAAATTGCATTAGCAACTAGAAATTTTTACTATTCTATTATATAATTATAATTATTTATTATATTATATTATAATTATAACAAGTACTAACCACACTACAACATAAAAAAACTATACACTTATAAACTAAAATTCCTAAAGTAAATGGTAAATAATAATTATTATTTTTACACACACCACTGGCACTAGCAGTAGATTGTGTTTGTCTCCGAATATATGCCCCGGACCGTTCACAATTCAATCCCAGCATCATTTATCTTCGTCTCTTCAACGCTAACGGGGGCGATCTCGCCTATCTCTTTCTCACAGGATTGATTGTTGGACGGGCCGGGAATCCACGAGCTTGCGACGTTACTAATTGAAATCTTGATAGAAACTGCAGACCTGCCGCGTCTTTTGCGTGTTTTTAATGGACATAAATCGAAAAAAGCGCTGAAAACGGTAAAATCGCAAAAAGCGCTTGAGACGCAAAAAACGCTAAACTGTTAAGTTCCAAAAAACTCTTATTAGTTTTCTACACATTATTTTGGCAGTCAGAGAATAAAAACGTTTTACATTCTTTGCCGAGAATATTAAAAATGGGGTTTTTGCATGTATTACATAATATTTTTGTTTATCTCTAACGTGATGTGGCGGAAAAGCCGCATGTTGGGTTTGAATTAGGTTGAATCTCTTTAGCAGGATTTATAGAAACTGTGCTTTTGGCAAGAAATAATTGTATTGCTGTTTTTACAGTTTTGTGAAACTTGTTACTATTTTATTTACTTCTTAGAGCGTTTAGAAGTACAAGTCCTTGTGGTGAAGGATTGCTCTTCGTAGCTCTCGAAGCGAATTCGGCAGGAATTCCTTTTTTGTTAGCCCATCATCAGTATATTCCTTTTGCGCCATTTTCCAATAAATACACACACTAACTTACTATATCACAGTAAATACCAACACTAAACTAAATATAGAACTTGTTTACGTCTTCATACAAAGTCACCAACACGAAAAAACATGAATAGTGCGTGTAGGACTTCGAATCACTGCAAGCCGTGCGGGGTAACGGAGGTACCCCAGGCAGTAAATTTCAGTTTTTCGCCGAAAATAAAAAAAATATTTGGCTATTTTTGTTAAAAAGGGTTTTGTAATATACATTCGAGGATTACCTGGCAGGAAAAATGTGAGAAATAAAAATTGTAAAAGTTATTAAAGAAAAAACGCATCTGGGGTACCTAAAATACCCCGCACGGTCCCGGAAAGGTTAAAAAATATTCAGAAATTATTATTTGAAGGAATTTATCACGAGTAGAAAAAATATTGTGCTGGGTTGGCGTTGGTTTCTATGTAATTTGACAAATAAATAAAGCTGTCTCTTTAGTTGTCAGTTTTAAGTCAATATTTTTTAATTCTCTTTCGTGTCGATTGCTGATTGAATTGGAGCTAGAAATGGCTCAAAACGAAATAAGTAAATTACCAACAGATATTCAGACTGAGGCGACTAACGCTATATCCAAACTACTTCCATTTAAATCCCGAATAACTTATGAAAAGGAATACAAAAAATTTTGAAAAATGGAAGCAATTAAAAAACGTGCGAGAAGAAATAAAGTTTTTAACCTATCCTCCGTTAAAGTACTATTTTATCTACTATTTTTGATAGATATAAATCAATTTTAACAGTTGCTATGGAAAAAAGAGTTTAACTCTATCTTTTGATGTTTTAATTTTAATACCAAATTATGACAACCAAATTTTTAACAATTTTTAACAACCAAACAATTAATTTGTTTATTTCCGAAATATAGGTTGACAGAAACAACTACTTATGGGTGATATCGGACAGAATGCCTAAATTCCTCATCACATCACTCAACTACAGCGAACCCAACTACAGACTGTTCTTCGCACCGGTAGATGAGCTAATTAAAGGAACTGTATGCGATCCTAACTACCAAACACCGGATTTCAGCAACAATTTCAATGAAGAACAGTACATCTCTACGATGAGCGGATTAATATTTGGTCAAAATGGAAACGCTGTTGGGCAGATCAAGAACAAGCCTAACGAGGAGGAATTTGCCAATTTTGGAGACTATACTTTTGGTTCTAAATTGCCTAGTGAAGAACTACGTAATTCTTATTTAGATTGATATTTCTGTTAGTATAATAAATTTTTCAAAGTAACATTGTACCGTATGATCGAAAAAAAAAACCGTGTCATCAATGGCTATGAAATCATTTTATATGTAAAATTATATGGGAAATGTCAACGATCGTCATTTCCAAGCCAACTGGACGTCGATTTTTTTTCGATCATGCGGTATAAATGATTTCGTTAAGTTTGATTACTACCAATGTTGTAAAACTGTAATTATTGATCTGTATTTTCTCAATTTAAGATATACTTGTAATGTTATACATGAGGTTATTTTTAATTAATATAAATAAAATTTGGTTATAAAATATTGTGCTTTGTAATTTTATTTCATTATACAGATACAGGGTGAGTCAACGATATATTAAAGCCCGTTATCTCATTTGTTTCAATTGTGAATGATCGTAAACTCATAAGTATAAAGTATAATTGAAACAACTAATTTATTTTACTCATTTCGAGGTTCTGAACGAGGCTTTAGAATTAAAAACTTCAACTTACGTTGTACAGTCTGGCTGTGAACAAACGATTGCCAGCGGCAAACTCTTCCAAAGCTGTATCTGCAGTTACTGCGGCAACGAATGCTGCCAAGATTAAACTAATCCACTTCATTTCTTTTCACTAGGTATCTGTAAAGAAAAAAATATGTCATTTAAAAAGGTATACCAAACTGTTCACGTCTGTATAAAATTATTCAACATTCTTCTATACTATACCACTAATATAATGGTCACCAGACATACATATATTATGTATATTTATTTATTTATTTATTTATTTCTAGTCGGAACACAAACAGGACAAGTCCCAAAATTATTAAAAAAAATTATATATATATATATAATTATAAACAAAAGATGTTATCGTGGGGACTATAATAAAAAAGAAGAATAATAATTATATATATAAATTATTGTTAAAAATGACGAAACAGTGATTTTATAGCCCCTATATGCAACTTGGAATTCCCGTACATCCAGTATGAAATGGTAAAACGTTGTTTTGTAGTGTTTCTTAAATGATTTAAGTTGTTTTTAACGATTCTTTAAAGTTTACACTGTGTGTCCCTCAGTAAAATTTAACTTTACCTACTATTCAATACTGGGTGAGTCTTAAATAAATGCAAATATTTTCAGGGCTGGTAGATTTCGATAAAAGAAACATATTTTCTCTTTACCGTTTTTCAAATAAGTCCAAAATAATCGAGTTATTTGATTTTAAAAATTTCAAAAAAAAATGATTTTTTGCTTAAATTTTGAGAACCACAGGATCTTTTCTGGGTTTTTTTGCTTGTAAATTTAATCTACTATCTATCTTGCCATACAATCAAGAAATAATGTTTTATAACTAAAAGGTAAAAAAAAATCCAAAAAGTGTATAAAAAAATTCCAATTTTTTTTCGCGAAAAAAACTCACAATCGTGTTTCTGGGGTCGAAATACTACCCCTAAAATATTTGCACTTATTTAAGACTCACCCTGTATATGTATAGGGTGTTTGAGACATTGAGCAACATCGATTATCTTCCAAAATATTGATTAAAATAGGCACACGTGCTTGTACTATGCGATAGAAAAAAAAACGGCGTCAAAGACGACTAGGAAATGACAATCGATAATAATTTGTTAAAATAAAAGCAAATATTTTAGGGGTAAAATATTTGCACTTATTTAAGATTCGCCCTGTATATGAACGACAAAAATTGAAAAACAATGCAGTATTATGTTAAATAGAGGTCCCAAGATACCAGCACCCTCAAATTTCACCCACCCTGACGAAAAGCGTAACAATATTCTAAGTATCGTATATTTTTGTCCTTATTTATGACTGAAAAGATTCCTGTAGGTTGTTATTCCTTTTCGAGTCACCCTGTACAATCATGACACCGCTTCGTTGGCGTGAATAACCTCCAATGTTAAAAAAATCGAATTTATAACTCTAAAAACAGATATAACACCAGTTTATGACGGCTAAACAAATCATGAATATTAATATTTAACAATAAAACGAAATTTTATTTTTTGAGGATAATTTATTTAAAACTCGTTAATGTGCCAGGATTTTTTATCGTCTTTTTCGTGTATTTTTTCGAAAAAAAAACGGTTGAGATTAAAAAATATTAACATATGAAAATATAAATTAACATATGAATTTGAAAACAAATAAAATTATAATTGTTACTAATACTTAGGTAATTGGGTTTTATATTTAAGTTTAGGTAGGTATATGGTATATAAATTTTTTATTTTTTCAGATAAAAAAAAACGAGATTTGGTATGTTAGTATATGACATTAATTAGTATTGATTGACGTATTCAATTTTTTTGGTCACTTCCTGCTCCACCGGAAATAACGACAATTTTTGATTTTTAAATGACAACCGCGGTATTTTTTACTTTATTCGATAGAAAATGACGCCCTGAATAGAATGACATATCGTACGTCAACTTTTGACATTTTCGCATATGGTTTATTTGAAATTGTAACATGCGGTTCATCACTACAATTTGACTTGAACTACCAAGTGTGTGGTACCAAATTATTCGTAAAAAATAATTTTTACAAATATGCCAATGAGCCACCCCTTGTTCCATTTGAAAAAAAAATAGATATGATTAAAAATATGATTTGGGCATCTTAACCGGCCAGGACAAAACACGATTTTTCCAAGACTCCTTGATTAAAAATTAGTGTTTTTAACATAGCCATGGCACTCTAGATTGAAATTTAAATTACGATTTTTTAAACAAAAATGTCAAAAGTTGACATATGATAAGTTATTCTATTCAGAGTGTCATTTTCTATCGAATAAAGCATAAATATACCGAGGGTGCCGTTTAAAAATCAAAAGTTGCAGTCATTTCCGGTAAAACAGGAAGTGACCAAGAACGAATGAATACGTCAATCAATCCTAATTTATGTCATATACTAACATACCAAATCTCGTTTTTTATCTGAAAAAATAAAAAAGTTGTAGGGGTGAGCCACTTTTGAAACGCACCCGGTATATAGTCTGAAGGCTTAAACACACTATAGGTAACACAGGTTTTTCTACTCTCGATAGATCAGTCACTAACAAGCAATTATACTTATTAGAAAACATTAGTATAAATGTGATAAATTACTTCAATTTGTCTAAACAATATAACACTTTTAAAAACAATAGTATTTAACGTTTTAAAAACGAATTTTAGCAAAGAGTGCAAACCGGTAAAATATCAACATAACTAACACAAAATAAACGTGTATTTTTACCTTAAATATAGAAAAATAATATGTTCGTACTATATAGGGAATGAAGGCTTGAACACACTAACACAGGTTTTTCTACTTGACAGATCAGTCACTTGCAATTATATTAAAAATATCTTAAGTTCTTTGTAAAATATACAAACTAAAATCACTCGCGCATGCATACAAACTTAAGGCGGCATCCCACGGCGCGTGTATCGGCAAGCCACGAGCAAGACTCGCCGATACACGAGTCGTGGGACCGGGCAGCTATGGGGCAGCTCGTCATTTTTGGCGCGGCTTGGACATACCCGCTTTCTGTCGGTAAACTTGACGATACTCAAAGGAAGGCGAGCCTCTTCGAGCTCGGCTCGTGTTGTGTTCAACCCGATCCAACGATCCTCGAAACGAGTACGGAGGTGCGGTTCAGTATCAGTGTCGTCTTGACTTAAAGATACATAGACAATAAATAAGTCAATCGCTATAATATCAATATAAAGTGATTTAGTATAATCTACATCCATATTATCTTTATTTTCAATAAAACCGTTTAACTTTTAAAACATACCAACCAAATAGGTAATTTGTAAACTACAAGTTAATAAGAACTGTTTAAATTTTTCATACGTAAAATTCTAAAAATTCTTCACTTTTTTATATACAGAAGAATGACAGATACAAAAAATAAATAGGACTAGTTTTCACCCTCCCCAGTATGCTATATCAAATTGTATTGAATTTAAAGGGGCAACCTATAAAAGTACTTACATATTGCGGCTTTAATACAAAGACACTCTCCACCAACACTTTTTTTTTGCCGTTCTTGTTGGTTCAAAAAAATTACCCAACATGATGTAATAAGCGGCTGCAACACAAGCTGCATTTTGTGTTCGTCGATTTTTTCGTTCATGTTGCAACACCACTGGCACGACTAAAAACTAAATTTGCCAAACCAACACGAGCCTTCTTCACGACCTTTCACGCATCGTGGGATCGCATCCACTTGCCAAGCCCAGATTAACGAGCCAAGCCTAGGCGAGCCTAGACGAACTCAAGCTATGAGCCAGGATCGCCGATACACACGCCGTGGGATGCCGCCTTTATACTGATGCCGGTCGGTGACAATGAACAATAAAAATAAAAATAAAACCCACGGAGAGATGGGAAAACCCACAACACACCAGGCAGCCGTTGAAATTGCAGAACGAGTTTACATTATACATTATTAAATTGTTATAAACAGATCTTTATTATTTATTAAATCAATAAAAAATTATCCTAAACAAATTTGGTCTCTTATGATAAATCTACTTTTGTTTTAAATTTTAGAACAGAATTCTAATTAATGCAGACTATCGAAATTTACGAGATTTATTTCTACGAGAAGTAGAGTAAGTCCTACTCTGAGTACAAGCGCACCAAGGGATAAAGGGTAATGAAAAAGCAAACGATCTAGTTACTGAAAAGGAGCGAACACTCAACTAACTGGACCAGAACCGTTCTGCTGTCTAAGTGAAAATCAACTTAAAGCGGAACTCAAGAACCTGGAAGACTCCGTAACCTGGAATGGGAATTGGGAATCCTCAGTGGTTTGAGACGCTCATCACTAAGTGCACCCAGACGACAATCGTTCGTGCCATAAACTTTGGTACGACTGATATCGGAGATGGAGAACTAACCTCTGTAAAACCGTCTCAGATGGTGGCTTTTGTTAAAGCCCTGCGACTGTATGCTGAGTTATAACTCAATAAAGGGGGAAACAATAGATCTGTGAGGTTGCGGTGATTAACTTCCTCCTTCCCACACCATTCTACATTTACATTTTAATTCTACAGGCTAGATTATGAGCCGATGATTATGATTTGTACGAGGGTTGTCTCACTATTGGAATAACATGTAAATTTTCTTGGCAGTCATTGGCAGTCTTACAACAGTCGCCTATAATAATTACATGGCAGTCATCTTCTTCGCAGTCATTGGCAGTGGCTTGAAAGTAAAATTATATTTTGGCAGTACAAGTACATTTTTTACCCAAGTGAGACACCCCTCGGATATGTACAAGTATGTTGTGTAAAAGTTGCAAACTAGTTTACTCTGCAACCAATTTATAACTAAAATGAAATTGCTGGACGCACACAGATGCAACTCATTCTCAATCAGTTGCAATCAGTTGGCTCACAGTCATTCTAAAAGCTAAATCAATCTAAAATAAATTAAAAAGCAATAATCTATTTGGCAATATAGTAGATATTAGTACACTTTCATTTTCTATTTTAGTGTATTTTCAATATTATAACAGTATCTAAGAAAATAATTTAAGCCCCGTCTACACATAAAGTTTTACCTGTCAGTCTTACCTGTTCAGTCAAATCGCCCAAGCAAAACATTGTGTGTAGATGAAAAAACGGACAGTTTTACTTGAACTGACGGGTTCATTCAATTTTATAACAAAACTGTAAAAAATATAAGTTAATATACCATAAAATAATATACCTAGATAGATGATAAATTTATAGATTGAACATTTAAAATTTCATGTTGTCTTTTCAACTTTGTTAAAAAGAATGCTATAATTGATTTACCTAGTAGTAGTTATAAAAACATTTTTGGTAAATTCTGTCTTATATAGTTTCTGAAAAAAAAACATTTTAAAAGGTCCGATTAAATTTATATCTTCGAAACTAAAGTTTCAAAAAATGTCATACTATACTACAAATTCATTTACCTAGTGGTAGTTATAAAAAACATCTTTGGTAAACTCTGTCTCAAATAGTTTCTGAAAAAAATAATAATTTTTTTAAAAGGTCCGATTAAATTTATATCTCCGAAACTAAAGTTTCAAAAAAAGTCATATTATATTAGAAATTCATTTACCCAGTAGTAGTTATAAAAAACACTTTTGGTGAACTCTGTCTCAAATAGTTTCTGAAAAAACAATAATTTTTTTAAAAGGTCCGATAACTACTAAGACTTCTAGTTTATAGGTACGCTAGTTTTTAATCCGTTTTACTTGACAGGTAAAACGTTAGTGTAGTAGACAGGGCTTTATGAGTAAATAATCTAGATAACTGCTTCACATCTTTGAAAATAATAAAAAAAATTATATGTGCACCGCAAACATTCGCCACCTTGTAACAACACCTATGTTTATCCTATTTGTAATGACGGTAGTCGAATGAAAAAAAATCTTGTATTTCCCGTTATTTCTCGTGTGTGAGACAACATATTTACATACAATTTTCATTCATTAAATATTTGGTGTTAGTGACATTATAATCCAAGCCAAAGAAAAAGATATTCTGTAAGTTAGAATCAGTGAACATATAAAATGACTGAGACCTTTATTTCGAAACAAACTCTGACGCCGTTTTTTTTTCGATCGTATTTTATATTTCACAAATGGTACATTTTAATATACTACCCTGTATATTTATATTCAGAGTTTTATTGTATATTTTAAAACGGAATACGGGGAAAGTAGAATATTTCTAATTTCTACACCACAAACCACAAGTGATAAAAATGATTTTATACAACTTAAAATTTGAAAAAATTATAAAATCTTTCTAAAAATTATGTATTGTTTTTAAACAAGTATAAATTATTGTTATAAACCAACAGACCTACTTACAATGTTTATTTCACAAAATTGCATTAGGATAAGAAAAATGTAAAAACGAATAATTAGTTATTAACGGTGCCGTAATTACTGTTATTTTTTACTTGTGAAGTTTTTTAACTAAAGTGTATTGTGTGAATTTAATTATTTACATTTTGATAATTTACAAAAATAACTGTTATTTCCGTTTATATTATCTTATTTCATATTATTTTGCGCTGAAATACCGTATGATCGAGAAAAAACAGCGTCAGCGATGGCTATGAAATGAAGATCGCTGTCATTTTATATGTAAATTTATAAGGGAAATGTCATCGATCGTCATTTCACAGCCAACTGGACGCCGTTTTTTTTCGATCATACGGTATAATACCATACGATTGAAAAAAATTCCGTCAAAGAGATTGACCGCGCCAAAATTATTATCGATTATCATTTCCCAGTCTTCTTTGACGCTGTTTTTTTCGATCATACGGTAGGTATACCGGGTGCGTCTCAAAAGTGGCTCACCCCTATAACATTATTATTTTTTCAGAGAAAGATACGTGATTTAGTATGTCAGTTTACAGTACGTCTGCTGGATCTGCGTCTATGTAAGGAATGCGGACAAAAAATATTTAAATAAACAACAATTTATTTTATACGTCGACTTAACGAGTACGTCACCGCAAATCGCTCCGCCCACTCATTTTATTGGCTACTTGCAAATTTGTTGAATTTTTATTGATGGGGCGCGTCGTCTATTTTTTTACGAAAAACATCGAGAGAATATCGTTTCCCCTCTCACGGATACCCCGTAGCTACAGAACGAACAGACGTACTGTAAGTATATGACATAAATTATGATTGATTGACGTATTCAATTAATTGTTTTTGGTCACTTCCTGTTTCACCGGAAATGGCCACATTTGATTTTTAAATGGTACCCTCTGTATATTTCTACTTTATTCGATAGAAAATGACACACTGAATAGAATGACATATCATATCGATCATATTTCAACTTTTGACATTTTCGCATATGGGTTATTTGAAATTGTAACATGCGGTTCATAACGACAATTTGACTGGAAATACCAAGTGTGTGGTACCAAATTATTCGTAAAAAATGCTTTTTCCAAATCTGCTAATGAGCCACCTTTGTTCCCTTTGGAAAAATTGAGATATGATTAAAAATACAATTTTTAACCGGCCATGCCAGGAAAAGACACGAAAAACATTAGATGATAAAAACTATTTTTCCAAGGCTCCTTGATCCTCTCTATATTGAAATACAACAAGTTCCACTCTATATTGAAATTTAAAATAAGATTTTTTTAAGCAAAAATGTCAAAAGTTGACATAATATGATATGTCATTTTATTCAGAGTGTCATTTTCTATCGAATAAAGTAGAAATATACCGAGCGTGCTCCATAAATAATCGCAAATAACTAGATATATAAACAAAAGTAGCTAAAAAAATAAAATGTGATGAAATAATATTAAGCAAACTATATATACTTTTTTAATTTGTAAACTTAACAACATTCGATACATTACCAGGATCCGGGATCCGGGACATCTTACCTAAATG